TAGGGCATACTGTTGAATCTTAGTTAGGCTGAGAGCACCCCAAGTTCAGGTCAGAGACAAGGGACAGAGAACAGAAGCCTATTTGAAATCAAGCTTCTACTCCCTGGGGAATCACATGGATCCTAGCAACACTGAACAAAAGGCTATAGACAAAGCGATTGAGGATTCTGGACCGTAAACCATTTTTCTATCTCTGGGCTGTATACATTCACACACTTCACCGTCCTACATTAGCATTGTCTCCCAGGCCCATACGTTATGCTCCTAACGGGGCAAACTGTAAACACTGGGATTTTCGGTTTCAGGAGGATTTGAGTTTACATAATGAGTTTGTTATCAGATCGTTTGGTCTCTGTTAGAGAAAAGATCCAAAGACAGGGGATGCTGTTCATCACCCAGAGGAGTCTGACCTGCAGGAAAGAGGCTGAGACAGAGCCCAAGGTCAAGCAGTCAGAGCTGTGCAGGGAGACAAGAACCCAAGTAGGACAAATCTCACTAATGATACTTTGCTAACCCACTTAGACTGAACCAACACCCTAGTGTGCACTCAGGTGAACCCTACATGGACAAGGGAGTGGTGGGGTGTTGGAACACTGCTCAGAACCCCTCCACCACCCACAGCGTAACCCATCTAGCAGTCTGAGCAGCTCATGGGATTTCTAAGGGAAGCGCCGGAGCTGGGAGATTAACTATCAAAAGATTCTGTCTGCCTATGGTCATGGAGAAGCGGAAGATGGAAAAAGAGAAACCGTAGGAAGAGCCACCGACCTCTGGGGCCCACGGAAGACTTTGAACAGAGTTTTAATTCTGAATTAGAGAGAAAATAGAGATCTGGAAATAGAGAGAAAAACATATCGGTCCTTGGAAGAGAGGGGAAATGAAAAGGAGACCAGCAAGCAGTCTGCCCAGGGGGATAATTGGAGTTGGAATTTATTTTATTTTATTTTATATTTCATTTTATTTTATTTGACAGATAGAGACACAGAGAGAGAGGGAACACAAGCAGGGGAGTGGGAGAGGGAGAAGCAGGCTTCCCGTGGAGCAGGGAGCCCGATGTGGGGCTCGATCCCAGGACCCTGGGATCATGACCTGAGCCGAAGGCAGACGCTTAACGGCTGAGCACCCCAGGTGCCCCGGAGTTGGAATTTCTTGTCTCGACACCACTCATCCGGTCTTCTCACTTGTTAGCATGATCCAATACACTGGCTGAGAAACACTTTTCTAGTCTCTGCTCTACACTGCTTGGTGATGAACACAGTGGTTTTTGAGAGACCTGAAATATAGCAGTTACAGTAATACCACCTGGGTACCAACGTTTCAGTCATCAAAAAGTGGACAATGTGCAACCCTCCTGAACTGTCATATATCCAAGATCAACACGTTCCACGTCCTATTTTGACGATGCAATGCTCTAAGTCAAGACCCCCAGCTTAAGTAAGGAAGCATTTTACATACACAGTGCCTCGATTTCCCCCTTTGCATAGAAGACCAAAAAAAAAAAAAAACCAAAAAGCAAAAAACAAAAAACCCACGCTAAATGGAAATGGAGCACCCCCTGGCCTCCACTAGCAGCGGAATCACACGGCCTAACAGCTAGGGAGTTCCCAAGATCCATAAAGACTAGATGACAAACACACAAGAGGTCAAGCAGGTGCCTCTGGAAACAGCCATTCGAGACACATTCTGTGCCTCAGCCCTGCCCTCACCTCTTGTTCAGGGCTCTGTGCCCCTGATGGGAAAGAAAGAACCTGAGTGCTAAGAGATAGAGTGCAAAGAGGACATTCTCTCCTCTTCACCAAGCCAAAGAGGTTTGCCGAGTGGTAAAGACCTACTCCTTCTGCAGTTTTCTTCTCAACTGTCATGGCGTCAGCAGGTTTTATGGGAGGAGGGATGAGGGAACGGACAGGCGCACTACCCAGAGCAATTTTTGGATGCAATTATGAGACTCCACTGGCTCTGCTTTAGGATCTGCAAGTTGGAGCAAGTTGCCCTGCACTTAGAGGAGGGATTAAACCAATTTCATCTATATCAATTTGCACTGTTCAGATGATATATTCATGAAGCAACCGAGTCACCCTGATTTGTGGCACTGCTTCCCAGGGGTGGCCTTGCAAGGTAGAACATGCTAGATGAGAAGTCTAGCGGTCACGAAAGAGGGAGGGAAACAATCACCCCTTCTTGTGCCTGGCCTCTCCCCCTGCCTTGCTCCTCCCTGTCCTACTCCTGGAGCTGCAAGTAAGGAAGTAGGCCTCAAACAAGCAGGAGGCCAAAGTGCTAGGCCAAGACTGGGGCCTCAGCCCGGTCAGCAGAGAACTCTGCACATTGTAGATGCTTAATAAATATTGTTGACTCACCGCTGCTAGATGCTAATCATGCTTGTATTGCCATGCCTACAATTATTTATGCCACTGTTCAGTAGAAATTAACTAACTGCCCCCATATAGGCTAAAAATGGGTGAGGTTATGTTTTCAAATGAGTCTGACTCAGACTGTTAGGTTGGAGTACATTAGATATGATTCAAGCCTCGACTTAAAATAATCACCATTACTCTGCATGCCTAGTTTTATGCATGTTTTCATTCAATTGTACATGCATTAGGAACAACAAAAAAAAGGAGTCCTGAGTACGGTGATGGATTTGGCTCCCAGGGGGACTAATAATGGCAAGTTAAGGTTTCCAGTAAACGAGGGTTCCTCCTTGCACCCAATCAATCTATTATCCCAATAAAAGGTAAATGAGGTACTTTATTTGAAAAGTGTAATGCTAAGGGTTTATAGAACCCTTTCATCTTCAAAGGACCAAGCCGAGACTCACAATACCCAGTACACAGTATTATGCCTTTTACACAAGTGCATCAACTATGAAAGAAAGGTCACAGGAATGTCCTAAGGCCATGAAGCCAATGTAACATCAGATTTGGGATAAACTCTCTGATCTTCTTGACTCCTAGACCTGTATTTCAACCACATAAATCAAGTTGTGAGGAACAGTCAGGAAAAATCTAATTCACATTTTATATCTGTATTAGGCTAATTGATTGGGCAGGAATATATAAAAATAGCCAAGACTGTTTCCCCCTTTGGGCAGTTAGTATGAGTGGAGTCGGGTGAAGAGGGGGACGTGAGGGTTGGGGTAATCAGCTGAGGTTAAGCCAGAAGGAGGGGAGGAAAGCTCCCTATTCAGCATGCCCCTTCTATTGGAACATCGCCAGAGAAGCGATTAGAGTCCTGGGAGGGAACAGAATAGGGTTAAAGGCAGCCCTTATGGCCCAACTTGAGAATCCAAGGAATCAACCCACACACATGACTTGTCTATTTCAACAGACTCCACTATATTCCTGTATAAGGGCTCCTCCTCACAGACACACACCCATCACTATCCACTCGCCCCACACTCAGAAATCCTCAAAAAGGCAAATGGGTTGAGAAGCAAGAGGCTGCAGGGCCGGGCGGCAGGCGGAGTGCACAGGTTGGTGGGGGGCAGTGTAGGGGACGGATAGGGTCTGGTGGGAGATCTGGGTGGGCAGGTAGATGCGTGACGGCGCAGGAAGAAGGCAAGTGAGCGCGAAGGCGGGTAGGGGAGTGTGGAAGAGAGAAAGTGAAGAAACTAAAGACCCCAGGATCCCAATTTCCTGCTCTGCGAAACAGCAACAAAAAACAACAAAACAAAACAAAACCAAAAAAAAAAAAAAAAAAAAAAAAAAAAAACCAAAAAAAAAAAAAAAAAGAAAAAAGAAAAACCCACAAAAACAAAAAACGCCTCCAGAGAAAGAACGCACTACACACCAAGTACTAAGTAACCTAAACCTTAGCATGACCAAAAATGTTTCTGTAAATCCACTCCGCCGCTGTTTACTTAATTCTTAGGAGCCAGGAATGGAAAAACCCCACCTCTCCCCGGTTCGGTCGCAATCTGTCCTCTGGACATAGGTAAGTTCGCCCTCTCCCCCGCTGGGCTGGTTTCACAGCTAGGCCAGAAATAAGGAACCACCCAGACGGAGACTGGAGGATCGCTCCCCTGGCAGAAAAGGGATTAAGTTTCGCCGGGCCTCTCCGCCGGCGGGGTGTCCGCAGCATCTCGGGCTGCTGCAGCAGCCACCGCCGGGCGGAGGGCCGGCGGAGGGGCG